GTTAGGAAGCACGAGAATGCCGGTCGAAATGACAAGGAGTGTCGGAGATCGATTGCAGCTAAACTTCAGAGACAATTTGCATTCTTAAATTCAGGAACGTTAAGGGTAATAATTTGTACCAAGTCGTAGTAGAGTTTTTATATTGAGTTATCTACCTTCTTACAATTTTTTTTTTCTCTTCTGCCTTCCTCTCTTCCTCCTCATTCTCCTCCTCCCCCTCCCCCTCATTCTTCTTCTTCTTCTTCTTCTTCTTCTTCTTCTTCTTCTTCTTCTTCTTCTTCTTCTTCTTCTTCTTCTTCTTCTTCTCTTTCTTCAACGTTTTCCTATTCTAGCTCATACAGCGCGGCGTTGATAATAGCCTGTCCACACACTGTTTCAGTAGCCGCTGTGATTTAGCGGCTAGACTCTCGCCTGCGGATTGGAAAGGCCGTGGGTTCGGTTCCTGACGGGGCTGGACTTTTTCAGAAATGACCTTGGATTCCAAGTCAACCCAGCGGGAAGTAAAAGCGACCGGCGTGATGCTGATTACATCACACAACAAGTGGTCAAATAAAATATAGGTCTATCCCTATGTACCCAATTCGCCTGAAAGGCATGGGAAAAGATCTTTTGCTTTTTTTCACAAACTGTTTCGTTTATTCTCAGTTATTTGCAAATTTCTTCCATGCCATGATGTCAGAATATCTTGGTCTCCATCTATATCTCTTCACCTCCAACCTTTTCGTTGTCACGACAACTCCAGCGGTCACACTTTTCATGACCTAATTAAAGAACCCCGTTTGCCTCCTTCTGATGCGGGTAGTCCGATCTGCAAAAGTTAATTCTTTTCCAGACGTCTTAATTACAGTTTTTGTGTGCCAGTATCCATTCTTCTATTTAACCAGTCTCTGTTGCTTGAGATCAGTTTTTAATCGACTGACTATCTTTGATTCACACTCAGGCTTCATGATTTACCTTGTTTAGCTGTTAATAATAACTTAGCTGACACAGGTCTACTTCTTCTTAAAGTAATTGTCTGTGTCGTTGGTAGCCATGTCTGTCCACGACCTTCTGTCTCATCTACTTTCAGTCAACTCTTCTTCTTCTTCTTCTTTTTCTTCTTTGTTCACCGGCTGTAACCTCCAGCGGAAAGTCCTGGCTGTTCGTCCATTTGGACTTTGGCTTCAATAAACTCTGACACAGATGATCCTCCATGCTATGATGTCAGACTGTTCAGCATCTTTTCTCTTGGTCTTCCTCTGCCTCTCCTCCCCTCCAACTTTCCTACTGTCACGATGCACTCCAGTTTTCTCCTTCTCATCACATGACAAAGACAGATCAGCCAAAATATCTCTTGTCTTTAATCGTTGCCGCTTTTTTCGTTTGCTTTGAAAGCGCTTGCGCTCTTGTCTTTCCCTGGTTCTTTCACCATTAGATTTTCTTGAACTTTAGTGGTTCTGTTTCATCTCTGTAATGTCGTTATAGTATAATAATTTCGACGGGCTGACGGATAGAACGCTGGCTCTTATTCAGGAGACCCGGGTACGATTCTTGCTAAGGGATGGAGATTACTTTCTAACCTAACCCTGACCTGACTGCTCCTGGGGAGACTGCACTAGTCAGGTGGTCTTGTGTCATCGGGCTCACAATCCTCAACCCCCCCCCCCCCTCTTTTCCCATTATAGTATGTCTTTGGGGCACTCGCCTTTTTCAAGACACCTCGGTTGCTCTTTTTTGGCTTTTAAGAGAATTTTAAGGATTCTTTTGTAAAACCACATCTTAGAAGTGTCTAGAAATGATCTAGCTTGTTTACTAATTGTCCTGGGATCACAACCATAAAGAACTCAATAAACACAACAAAATGGCCTTGTCTTACGGGTCGACTAGTCTAAAACGAGTACAGTTAAAGTAGTGGAAACAAAGGCAGCCTGCTTGATATTGACCATATGACCCGCCAAGTGCCAGTAGATCTGTAAGTAAATGAGTCTGACATCAAATGAATGATGCACTATTGGCATAAGGACGGGTCGGTTACTTAGCACATACAAGACACAGTTTGCCGTATTTAGTTCTCTGATGAACATTCAGGTTCTAGCCTATCTGTACGCACCTTTTTTTTTTATTGCCAGCGTTAAGCTTTATATTCCCTGTCTGTGGTGTGTTTAGTACTTCTCGGCAGCTAGTCGTCACACGACAGGTAGTCACCACACGGCAGCTAGTCGTCACACGGCAGCAAGTCGTCACACGGCAGGTAGTCACCACACGGCAGCTAGTCGTCACACGGCAGCAAGTCGTCACACGGCAGGTAGTCACCACACGGCAGCAAGTCGTCACACGGCAGCTAGTCGTCACACGGCAGCTAGTCGTCACACGGCAGCTAGTCGTCACACGACAGGTAGTCACCACACGGCAGCTAGTCGTCACACGGCAGCTAGTCGTCACACGGCAGCTAGTCGTCACACGGCAGCTAGTCGTCACACGACAGGTAGTCACCACACGGCAGCTAGTCGTCACACGGCAGCAAGTCGTCACACGGCAGCTGGTCGTCAGACGGCAGCTGGTCGTCACACGGCAGCTAGTCGTCACACGGCAGCTTGTCACCACTGGCAGGTTCACGGTAGGTATAGGAAAAGCAGTGGACTGCGACAACATTCTCAAAGCTGTCAATGTGGCAGGAGGAGAATGTGATTCAGGAGACAATGTTGAATTGGCAGCACCACAAGAACTGTAAGTCAGAAGATGTGTCGACCACTATACAAGCAGCCAAAGATTGTTGAAAGGTGAATTAAGAATCAACATCACAACACTTGGGACACTCCCATAAGTGCTCAGTACCCATCTTCAGCAGCAAGCGGAGAGTTCCAATTCCGATGGTACCAGTAACAGTTTGATTGTATATCCGTCTCATCCTTCCCCTGAGTGTCGAGCGTCGGCCAGATCCCCTGGTAACTCCTCGCAGCGCCATTCTTCTTTAACTGTAATGATCTGTCCGCGCCTCCGCACTGTTCACTCGTTCCTAAAGCTCCCTCACAATATCTAATTTGTCATACATCAATTCATTACCAAGTGGTGCAGAGCCAGTCAGTCTATCTGCCTACTCATTTCACACCAGCATAACCTGGAGAAAATATCCAAAGGATGTAAACTACCTGTTACCTCTGAAGTAGCCAAAGAAGAATAGTAAACGAACACAGAACTTGCGGTCTGAGTAGCCACACGCTAGGGGATATACTGAAGATGGGATCCGATGTGCAGTGAGGATAATCTATCGATTAACTAACTGTTTAACACACACATACACAAACTACGAATCCATTCCAAACTGGATATTGTATAATATTTTGTTTTAGATGTCGCATTTTTAATAGAGATACAGATTCCATGCACTGTGGTGAGAATAAATATAAGACTGGACAATTCATGAAATCCCCAAAAACACTTAAGTTATAATGTTTTATCGAGCCTATTTCGACCGGCATTCTCATGCTTCCTAACAATTGCTTTGTCTGAATATGCCACGCTTGCTCCTTTAATTTATTCTTAAGAAAGCCGCTGATACTGTATCATATTGTCATGCCTTCTATGTGTTGTTTTGTTACCTCTGTAATCCCTGAGTAGGAGGAGGAGAATGAGGAGGAAGAGAGCAAGGCAGAAGAAAACTAAAATAGTAAAAAGGTAGATAACACAATATAAAAACTCTACTACGACTTGGTACAAATTATTTCCCTTAACGTTCCTGAATGTTAGAATGCACATTGTCTCTTTGAAGTTTAGCTGCAATCGATCTCTGACACTCCTGCTCTTTCGTCTTGGATGTCGAGTTGGTCATGTGTTAAATAACACTTGTTCCTGCAGTGAGGTGTGAACGTCGGTGTCAGACAACAGGTTCAAGTCCTGACTTAGTATTTATCGCCACTGATGTGTGCAGTGCAAGCGGGGCATAAATGATACAGGTATTGAGGTGCACTCAAGGAAACAAAATGCCATCAACCGTACTGTGTGGAGGGGGTACACTAGGAAGGGTATGAGAATGAAAGAAGAAATTACTGCAGAAAGGATGAGAGCTAAGCGTCTGAGAAGAAACACTAAACACAAATGCTGACAACAACGGTCCGGATATCCCAGGCTATAACTGCCGAATGTTGTGAGGGGCCTCTGGAAGCGAGTGAACAGTGCAGAAGCGCAAAACAGATCATTACGGTCTGAGGATAATGGCGCTGCAAGGAGTTGCCGGGGGATCTGGCCGATACTCAATACTCAAGGGAAACGCGAGACTGATATACAATCAGACAGTTACTGGTGCCATTGACATTTTGAACTTTTTGTTTGCTGCTGAAGATGGGGATGGAGTGTAAAATATGAGTCTAGCCCTATATGCCAAACCCAATATGCCTAAAGGGTGCAGAAAAAGGTGCTTCACTTTTTTTTTGGGGGGGGGGGGGGGGGGTCTTTACTAATGGGATAACTTGAGGCAGGAAAGTCTATCCTCTCCCTCCTGCATTAAAATTTTTACAAATTCATCTATGCTTTTACATTCAATTTTGGACCCATCTACACCTTTCCATTCAGTTTTATACCCGTCTCTACTTTTACATTTGATATTACAGACAACGCTATTTCTACACTTAATTTTCAAATTAGCGAATACTTTTACATTTAATTCTACACCCACCTCTAATTTTACTCTTTAATTTTAAACCCATCGCTACTTTTAAATTTAATTTCAGATCCATTTATACTTTTATAATTTAACTGTTCACTGACCTCCAATTCCACCACATCCTGTAATTTTAGAGTAATTTTTTTTTTAACTAATTTTTTTTTTTTCATTTCAAGAACTATCCATATCTAATTTGGACAGCACACAGTTGGTATGAATAGCTCCCTAATCGACTACATGTTTGTGCGCATGTTCACATTTTGATGCCACTAAAGTGGCGCAATTAGTTGTTTATGTCGATGGCCTTATGTATTCGGTTTTCTCGAATAATCTACTGAATAACTGATAAGAAATTACTCACCATGTCAGGTATCGGACCAACGTCTTCAGAATGTGTGTAGCCGCGTCTTCTTCCCTGACAGTCACCGTTTCCGGTGCGGTCATGGTTGTGTTGAACTTCAGCATGGCGTCTGACAGTCACGTCAACATGGAACCTCAACTGCTAACCGACGACATAACAAAGCCAGAGTGTGTGAACAGCTGCCATTGTCTGTAGTGTCCTTCACAGCCTGGAAGTAAGGTGATCATATGAGTCCCAGTGGGAGACTAATAGAAATGAAACTCCTACGATGAATCCTAAATTGAAACAACAGTCCGGGTAAACAATGGCGATAACCAGGGAGAAGCTTGAAAGCAACCAGTGCTAAACTTCATTAGAACACAATAAATCAATGGTTTCGGTCACGTCTTGAGACTAAAGTAAAACTTTACAGTCAAGGGGATCAACTTCATTGCACTGGGTTTTATCCCATATGGCTGGGTGTCTTACTGCAGAATGACTAGCCAGCGAATGAGAGCATCGTACAAAGCACGAAATCCGGCGACGATCCCCATGGAACTCCGTAAAAAATTGCAATCGTGAAGTGAACAATGCAACTGTAAAATGAAACCACGACTTTAAATGCGCCAGGCAAACTGCTTGACTACTTAGCCACAGAGACCCCCCCCCCCTCACCCCCTCATGTCTCAAGACTAATAAAAGATAGTAAAGAGATCCTCGTGACTTAGATGCAATGGGAAGCAGGATCATAAATCGATGGATGTGACGATGGATGTGACAATGGATGTGACGATGGATGTGACGATGGATGTGACGATGGATTTGACGATGGATGTGACGATGGATGTGACGATGGATGTGACGATGGATGTGACGATGGATGTGACGATGGATGTGACGATGGTTGTGACGATGGATGTGACGATGGATGTGACGATGGATATCACAAAAATGAGATGTCTACGACGAGTCCTAAACGAAAACAGAGACTGAATCATAAATGACGATTTTCAGGAAACAGCCGAGACTTACCCAGTGCTAAACTTCATCAACAGACAACACACTAAATATTCTTCTTTACGTTCATCAGTTGTGAATTCCGGCGGAAAGTTTAGGTTGTTCGTCCACATGTGGACTTTAGTCTGTTCCAGAAACTGAAAGCTGCTTGGTTGTCTGCTTCCCAGGCACTCTATTTTTGAAGAAAGGCCCCACCCCCACCTCCCCCATGAGTGTACATTTACGTCATACTTGTTGGGGGAGGCAATAGGCCTATTCGATTTATCCCCTGCAATAGGGATCCCGGAACCCACACGGGGAAACAAAATACTAAATGTTTCAAAGACGAGTCAGGACGACCCTAGAAAAACGAGCCCAGAGAAACAACTCCAGAAAACCGACCGCCATTGAACCGACCCCAGAGAATCCTGCCACTTAGACTTTCGGGACGCAGATTTAAAGCTCGACTAGTAGAGGAAATATCCAGTGCCGTACATACTGGCATGTTTTAAGCACAAAACACGTCTGGCATCAGCTGCCTCTTCAAACCGTGAGGTCGGAAATCAGAACAAGAGCTAGAGAAAAGAACAGACTGAAACTAACCATCTGTCCCACGAAAAGACTAAAGGTGAACAACTACTGTTGGTGTGTATCGTGCACCAAATGGTGTGTAAATATTTTATTTACATTTGGTCTGAACGTACTTGAGATATCTGGCCTATATTTCAATATGCACCACATCACATGTTGCCATTTCAAAAGTAAGAAACTGATTGTTTTATGGTTGCTACTTTTTCATTCGGGTTGTCTTTTGAAAAAGACTTGAAGAAAAGAAAATTGTATTCTTTGCGGGACGTAGCAGAACCAACCACGGCATTTGTCTGGCTGCTTCTGACTTGACTTGGAAATTTTATGTTCAGTAGTTTGCCACTGCCTTCTCAATAGTCAGCTCTTGATACCTCGGTCAAATCAGATGCAACCAGGATCGAAGCAGGCACCACGGAATTGCGGAGCGCGTTGGCGATGCTCAAGCCACAGACGCCGACAATGTAACAATGTAACATTGATAAAGACCCTTTTTTTCGCCTTTTGTACATCCGTCAAATGGTGCCCATGTCTTAACCCGCCCTCGGCACTCGACGGTCAACATCGTCTTCGTTGCTTTTACTTCCCGAGACATTTCTGGGTATACATTTCAAGCGTGGTCCACTTGGAAACTTGGAAACATGGAAACTTGTAAACTTGGAAACATGGAAACTTGTAAACTTAGAAACATGGAAACATGGAAACATGGAAACTTGTAAACTTAGAAACATGGAAACATAGAAACTTGGAAACCCTTGGAAACTGTTAGTTTTCTTCTTCTATGCAATCAACGGCTGAAATCTGCGGCTGAACGTTCTGGCTTTTCACCGACTACTGGACTTAAATCTTGTTCCACACCTTAAGTTTTGCGTGCGAATCCGTTTTACAAATATGACTTTATGCAGTCTGTCGGTTCCTCGCCTATCAGACAGAGGCACTTAGACTTCGAAGGAAACGCATCACTGGTCACCTTTTACGACATGCTTTGTTTTCAGAGCAGTGGGTCTATTCTTGTTACAACGAAAATGTGGCAACGAAACCTCAAGGGGAAGAATGCAGACTAAACCCCAAGACCTTCAGATGGGCAGGCCATCATCTAGGCTCTGCACCCCGGCCCCTAAAGATATCCAATCGACCAAGGCCTTCCCCTTTCCCATGCCGGTAACTGTCCCACAGACAATATGACAGAATCGAACACGATCGGTAGCTGATAGCACCCGAAAATCGATTCCGTTCAGCGCGAACACGGGTCGACGTAGACACTTGTCTGTCGCTGATCGCTCTAAAAGACTTCACACATTCACCAATCTTTGTATCCAGCCAACCGCGCCATTTTGGTTGTTTGACCTAGCAACACGACACGCCTTAAAACACGGCGTGTATGTAAGTTGTTGTACCTGTTGTATATTTCTGCAAAGAACTAGATTTTTTTCTTTATATGTGTTAGGATTATAATGTATGTGTAAACGCATTCTTCCGACAGATTATAATGTTGAGTAAGGTGTAAATGTAAATATTATAGGAAGATAAGAAAATGTGGATTTTTAATTTGTAACAATACGGTGTGTGTATTATAAGATTATAAGAGCGGTACAGCGCATGGGGAGATAATAGGAACCGTGGCGTGTGTGGGGTGTGCGTGCGTGTTTGTGTGTTTGGTTCGCGCGTGCATGCGTATGTGTGTGTGTGAAAATACTGTAATAAAGTTAGCATTAGAACAAATTATAATAAAGGCAGAATACAAGAAGATTTTATAATAAAGGTAGGGCATATACAGAGATTATAAGAAAAGTATAGTATTTGCAGAGATTATAAGAAAAGTATAGTATTTGCAGAGATTATAAGAAAAGTAGAGTATAGGAGAGATTATAAGAAAAGTAGAGTATAGGAGAGATTATAAGAAAAGTAGAGTATATGCAGAAATTATATAGAAGGTTTAGTATATAGAGTGATTATAATAAAGCTATATAGTATATGCAGAGATTATAAGAAAGGTAGAGCAAATGCATTGATTACAGAAAAAGTAGAGTACATGCACAGATAATAGAAAAAGTAGAGTACATGCACAGATAATGGAAAAAGTAGAGTATATGCACAGATAATGGAAAAAGTAGAGTATATGCACAGATAGTGGAAAAAGTAGAGTATATGCACAGATAGTGGAAAAAAGTAGAGTATATGCACAGATAGTGGAAAAAGTAGAGTATATGCACAGATAGTGGAAAAAGTAGAGTACATGCACAGATAGTGGAAAAAGTAGAGTATATGCACAGATAGTGGAAAAAGTAGAGTATATGCAGAGATTATAAGAAAGGTGGAGTCCATCCACTTCACCACGACGGCTTCCTAATCCCCAGATAGGGGTCAAGAAGAAAGGTAACAATGAACAGTCAAATTTCCCGTGTGTATTTCAGGACCCAAGTTTGCGGCGCATAAAGGTTCAGAACCACTTCCTCCAAGCAAGCATGTCGTAAAAGGCGAACAATCAAGTTTACCCTGACATCACGTTTGGGTCGAAAGCTCTACGTGACTTTCTCCCATTCCTGATATTATATTCAATGTTTCAGTGGTCTTAGTGGCTAAGTGGTTTGTCTCTGAATGCCGCCAGTTCGTCTGACCGTCGAGTAGTTCGGTTCACGAGTCCAATTTTTGCAGAGATCATTGTGGATTGTCGCTGGGGCTACGGAGTTCTTTCTTTGTGCAACACTTTCAACAGAGGACACCCGTTCTTGGAGAGAGACTAAACCACACGTAATTTAAAAAAAACCCACTGCTTTGACATGGACCCTCCCAATTCAAACCTTTGTTGTTGTTTTCTTTTTTCTTTTTTTTTTGCTACATTTGTTTCCCCGTCCTGTTTCGCCATTAATTTAGGTTATCTGTGACCTCACAGCGGACATTCATACCATGTTCAACGAATGAAGAATACAAGCACCTAGGACACTACAAGTAAAGAAAGACACACACAGAGAGAGAAGCCAACGTTTCGACCAGTCTTCAGTCAGAGAGAAGCCAACGTTTCGACCAGTCTTCAATCAGAGAGAAGCCCACGTTTCGAGCAGTCTTCAATCAGAGAAAAGCAAACGTTTCGACTAGTCTTCAATCAGAGAGAAGCCAACGTTTCGACCAGTCTTCAAACAGAGAGACGACAACGTTTCGACCAGTCTTCAAACAGAGAGACGCCAACGTTTCGACCAGTCTTCAAACAGAGAGACGCCGACGTTTCGACCAGTCTTCAATCAGAGAAAAGCAAACGTTTCGACCAGTCTTCAATCAGAGAAAAGCAAACGTTTCGACCAGTCTTCAATCAGAGAGAAGCCAACGTTTCGACCAGTCTTTAATCAGAGAGAAGCCAACGTTTCGACCAGTCTTCAATCAGAGAAAAGCAAACGTTTCGACTAGTCTTCAGTCAGAGAGAAGCCAACGTTTCGACCAGTCTT